CTCGAACCCGCGGGCTCAGGCAATCCACTCACCTCAGCCTCCCAAAGGCGCGGGATTATAGGCTGAGCCACTGAGCCCTGCTAAAAGAGTAGATTTTAAGTGTTGTTACCACAAAGAAACAAGTATGTGAGGTGATGGATATGCTAATTGACTTGATTTAATAATTTTCTGATATATACATGTAATATCACATTATATCCCATAAATATATACAATAATTATTTGTCAAAAATTAAATTAAATTTCAGAAATAGAAAATAGAGCCCGGCTTGGTGGCTCAGCCTGTAATCCTGTGCCTTGGGAGGCTAAGGTGAGTGGATTGCCTGAGCCTGCGGGTTCGAGACCCGCCTGGGCAACTTGGTGAGACCTCATCTCTACAATAAATAAATAAAAAAAATCAGCCAGGCGTGATAATGCACGCTTGTAGTTCCAGCTATTTGGAAGGCTGAGGCGGAAGGATCGCCGGAGCCCAGCAGGTCGAGGCTGCGGTGGCCGGGAGCGGCCACTGCACTCCAGTCTGGGTGACAGAGTGAGACTCCAACTCAAAAAAAAAAAAAGAAAAGGAAGTAGGTAACAGTGTATTCATCTTTATCAGCAATATTTGTTAATGGGCTCTGAGCCTGAAACTAGATTCAAACCCGGAACTAGGCAGGTACTCTCCCTGCTACCATGCAGGTTGTGCTACACAGGCTGAGTGAAGGAGAGATACTGACCAATATTTAGCTAGCTCTGTTGACCTATTGTTGCCTCGTGTATTTGTAGAGAACCTAGCTGGTAAGCCAGCCCTGCAAGTCCCCAGTTCTCGAGCTGCTGCCCCAAGGCCTCCAGTGTCTACAGCCAGTGGGCGTCCTCAAGATGATACAGATAGCAGTCGGGCCTCACTCCCAGAACTGCCCCGGATGCAGAGACCCTCTTTACCGGACCTCTCTCGGCCTAATACCACCAGCAGTCCTGGCATGAAGCACAGCTCCTCTGCCCCTCCCCCACCACCTCCTGGGCGGCGTGCCAATGCACCCCCTACACCTCTGCCTATGCACAGCAACAAAGCCCCAGCCTACAACAGAGAGAAGCCCTTGCCGCCGACACCTGGACAGAGGCTTCATCCTGGTCGAGAGGGACCTCCTGCTCCACCCCCAGTCAAACCACCTCCTTCCCCTGTGAATATCAGAATGGGACCAAGTGGCCAGTCTCTGGCTCCTCCTCCTCCGCCTTACCGCCAGCCTCCTGGGGTCCCCAATGGACCCTCCAGTCCCACTAATGAGTCAGCCCCTGAGCTGCCACAGAGACACAATTCTTTGCATAGGAAGGCGCCAGGGCCTGTCAGAGGCCTAGCACCTCCTCCACCCACCTCAGCCTCCCCTTCTTTACTGAGTAACAGGCCTCCTCCCCCAGCCCGAGACCCTCCCAGTCGAGGAGCAGGTAAGTGCTCAGAAGCACCTTTTTTTCTTCTCATGTGTTGAGTTTATCTTGTCTCTTCATCCTTTTCCCCAAAGTACCCCTTTAGTGATTGAAGACAATAAGAATACACTTATTCACCAGGCTTGGCGGCTCAGCCTGTAATCCTGCGCCTTTGGGAGGCTGAGGTGAGTGGATTACCTGAGCCCG